GACCATTTCTCTATACAATATAAAGAGTTCAGTGTTTTATTGTTTTGTGTGTATATGCTGGTACTGGAGTTTGGACTAAAATCTAGTGCTGTCTCTGAGCTTTTTCACTGACAGCTGGCACTCTGCCTCTTGAGCCACAGCTTCACTCCTGGATTTTTGGTGATTAATAGGAGATAAGTGCCTCATGGACTTTCTTAACTGGACTGGCTTTAAACTTTGATCCTCAGATCCTCCTGAGTAGCTCGGTTTACAGGCATGAACCAACAGCAACTTTTTCTTTTGGTGTGTGCCGGTACTGAGGTTTGAACTTGTCTCACGCTCTTGTTTAGCTTTTTCACCCAAGGCTGGTGCTCTACCATTTGGGTCATATGTCCACTTCTGGCTTTTTGGTGGTTACCTGGAGATAATAATTTCATGCAGCCAGGTGCCAGTGGTTCATGCCTGTAATCCTGAGTACTCAGGAGGTTGAGATCTGAGGATCATGGTTTGAAGTCAGCCCAAGCAGGAAAGCAGTTGAGACTCTTATCTCCACTAAACTTCCAAAAAAGCTGGAAGTGGAGCTATGGTTCACATGGTAGAGCACAGGCCTTGAGCAAAAGAAGCTCAGGGGATGGTACCCAGGCCCTGAATTCAAGCTCCAGGACTGGCACCAAAAAAAGAAAGAAACAAAGAAAGAAAGGAAGGAAGGAAGGAAGGAAGGAAGGCAGGTAGGCAGGCAGGCAGGCAGGCTGAGATCTGAATATCATGGTTCAAAGCCAGCCTAGTCAGGAAAGTCTGTGAAACTCTTATCTCTAATAAACCACTAGAAAACCGGAAGTGGCGCTGTGACTCAAGTGGTAGAGAGCTAGCCTTGAGCTGAAGAGCTGAGGGATAGCGCCCAGGCCCAGAGTTCAAGTCCCATGACCGACAAAAATAAAAAAGAAGGAAGGAAGGAAGGAAGAAAGGAAGGAAGGAAGGAAGGAAAGAAAGGAAAAAGAAGAAAGACATCTCATGTTTTTTACTGCTCTGCTGGCTTAGAATTGCAATCCTCAGATACTGACCGCCCGAGGAGGATTACAGGTGTTAGCAACCAGCTGCTGGCTGCATTTTGCTTTTGAGGTTAAAAAAAGACACCCCAACCCCCCCCAAAAAAAACCCTACATACAAGGAAATGAATTTTAGTGCACAAGCCAATTTTGTAAAAAGTTATTTCACAACTTGTCCTTAGCAATGAAATCTGTGCAGTCACAAATTTGATGTGCTGATTCTATTTTCTCCTAAAATAAGTACACAGCTATGAACACAAAATGGTCTTTGATAGTCTACTGAAGTTTCTTGCATATTGTCAGTGGTATTCATACTGTCTCCAGAACAGAAATCTATTTACTTCCTTTGATTCTTCCTGCTACCCTTGCCCTTGTTTCTACATTGCCTTCAGGTGCTGCTCTCTCCTCTGCCACGGTGGGTGAGAGAGAGAGAGAGAGAGAGAGAGAGAGAGAGAGAGAGAGAGAGAGAGAGAGAGAGGAAGGAGTGTGTTTTCTTCATTGAGGAAGAAACCCAAGCCTCACACATATAAGAACTCTGCCACTGAGTTCTACCCCAGCCCTCCAGCTGTCCCCTCAAAATTCTCCCTGACCTACTACTTTCCCTTCGGTTGGACTGAGAACTTCATACCCTCAAATATCATACCTTAGCAATTGGGAAAGCTGAAGATGCAAGAAATTCATTCTACACCCCCCTTTCTGTGTGACAGGTAGCCACAAGGAGTTCTATAACCTACCTCACCTGAAAGGCCTAACACACTCATTTCATAAGGGTCTTGTCTTATATCCAAGGGCCAAGAAGAATCTAGACAGGGCTTGCTGGTGCCTCCCATTTTTGTTTCCAATTTTGTTTTTCCAATGTGGGAGAATGTACTAGGGATCAAAACTAAGGCCTTGCAAATGCTAGGCAAGGGCACTAGCACTGAACTACATCCCAGATCCCTCCCTGTTTATTACTACTAAATCATATCCTTCTTACACAATCATACTTCTATATAACTGCCATTCTTCATATCCAAACATAAAAATATAGTTTTCAGTTGGGTGCAAGTAGCACATTCCTGTAATCCTAGCTACTCAGGAGGCTCATCTGAGGGTTCACAGTTCAAAGCCAGCCTGTGCAGTAAAGTCTGTGAGACTCCAATTAACCTCCAGAAAACTGCAAGTGGTGCTGTGGTTCAAAGTGGTAGAGCCCTAACCTTGAGCAAAAGGAGCTCAGGGACAGCACTCAGGCTGAGTAAAAGTGTCAGGACTGGCAGAGAAACAGCAACAACAATGACAAATATACACACACACACACACATACACACACTATAGATAGAGATAGATAGATAGATAGATAGATAGATAGATAGATAGATAGATAGATAGATAGATAGATAGATATAAATAAAATAGTTTTCCCTGGGTCACTGGATTCTTCTGAAGTCTGCCATGTCCCATAAAACATTTAGGTTTCGTTATGGTGTATCAGCCATGACCCTAGCCATGGATGATACCACTTTTTTTCCCCTACACTTGCAGGTTTTTTTTTTTTCCTTTTGTGCCAGTACTGGGGCTTGAACTCAGGGCTGAGAAGCTTTCCCTTAGTTTTTTCACTCAAAGTTAGCACCAAAAGGTGGCTAATTCTAGAGATGAGGATTGCTTCAATTTGAGGATTGAAATATGATCTTCAGATTTCAGCCTCTCAGTAGCCAGGATTATAGGCATGAGCCACTAGCAGCTGCTCACCGGTTTTGTTGTTGTTGCTGGTTTTGTTTACACCTGTTCTGAGAGCCCTAAGTCCTTACATCTCTCCTCTCCAGAGTGTGGAAGTGTTCATTGGAAGAAACTGATTGACCAGAAGCATTTGCCTCCCCCCAGCACCCTGACTCCCAAGCCCACAGAGGTAGCACCTCCAGACAAGAGCACTCTTGCCCAGCTTTGGCCTACCCAGCAGTCCACCCTTCCACCGGGGCCACTGCCTTCAGACAACCAGTTCACCCTCCTCAGTGAAACCACTACTCCCACTTCAGCCTATAGTGTTGGAGCTGGGCCTGAAGCTGCAGGGAACCATAAGCAGCAGGGAGAAAACAGAGCTGCTACAGCTAGCAGCACATCAGCTGTGGTGCCAGTGCTGTCCCTTCTGGCCATCATCTTCATCCTCACTGGAGTCCTCTTCTTTGTGCTATGCAAGAGGAAGAGGAAGAAGTCAGAAAAGTACTCCTCAGGTAACTGGACTTCTAAACCCCTCCTGGAGGGACTTAGAGTCTTCTTGGTGCCCCTTGAGGTGGAGATTCTGCCCCTAGCAGGAAACCTAACATAGACACACTTATATTAAGGCTTTTTACATTATGGACTATGGGCTGTGAGGGAAGTCAGCCAGATCTCCTGAGTGGAGGCAAGAGGGTAGCTGCCATGGGCCTAGAGATGAGCGGACAGTACTTGGAACAACAAGAAGAAAGATGAGGGCTGTTGATGCAGTCACAAGTCTATCCCTAAGCACTTACTGTGTACCATATCCTAGACCTAGAGTTCGTATCTCAGAGTCTCCAGCTTAAGCTCTCACCTCCTCCCCGATTCCTCTTGATCTCAGATCTTACCTCTGCATTTCTTTATTCTTTCCAGATTTGCAGCTCCAATGTACACTTGTGACACCAGACCCCAACACACCTGAGCCACAAATGGAAGCCTATAAGAGTACAGATTGAGCTGCTGTGGAAGCTAGGGAAGATGGGCATACAAGTGATCTACCACTAGGGTGTACTCCAGACCCTTTTTTGTTGCTGTTGGTTGTGTGGCTTGAACTCTAGTGCCGTCCCTCAGTTCTTCAGCTCAAGATTAGCACTTTACCACTTCATAGCATTACCTCCGGTTTTCTGGTGGTTAATTGGAGATAACAATCTCATGGATGTTCCTGCCCAGGCTGGCTTGGAACTGTGTTCCTCAGATCTCAGATGTGAGTCACAGGAACACCCCCGCGCCGCCCCCCCCCCAAAAAAAAACCTCTTGATCCTCCTGGGTGCTAGGATTTTTGCTGTGTGACACCACACCTGGCAACTTATTTTTGGAAAACTGTGTCATACAATTCCTGGCTTATACTAGGCACCCTCTAATGATTAATATATGATTAACCTCACTGTCTTTTAGTACATTCTTAATGTTTAAAAAATCCAGGGCGGGGGGAGGCTGGGAAGGGATGGGAAGGGTAAACAAAGGAGGAGGCTACAATGCTTGATAAGAAATGTACTCACTATCTTGCCCATGTAATTGTAACCCCTCTGTACAGTATTTTCACAATAAAAAAATAAAAAATAAAAAGAAAAAAGAATCCAGTATTACAAAGATCTGTGGTTTGAGGGTGTAACTCTGTGACAAATACATGTCAGAAAAAAAATTATCTTCTGGTTGTGGCAGATAGGTTGGACAAAATTTGGTGGTACTAGGATTTGAACTCAAGTTTCATACTTAGTACCAATTACACCATGCCTCCAATCTACTGCCTATTATTTTTCGGTAGGGTTTGAGCTTTTTTTGCCCAGGCCAACCTAAATTGAAATCCTACTTAAGCTTCCCAGGTAGCTAGGATGACAGGCACACACCACTATGCCAGCTTTTCTATTGAGATAGGGTCTAATTAACTTTTTGCTGGGCTTACCTTGAACCACAATCCTCCAGATCTCTACCTTCCTGAATACCTACAATTACAGGCATGAGCCACTGCATCTGATTCTCTACATGTGGTTTTTTTTAACTATTAAAAATTATTTTTGGGACCAATGATTCTTCTTTCCACAGACATTGATTTCAGGTCCTTGTCCCCTTTCCCATAACTGCTGGCTTCAACTTCTCTGATGGTTCCCCAACACAAGGGTCCCTTTACACCAGCTGTTCCTCCACACTGACAGCTTTTCCAGGCCTCCCTCCTCAGTGGTTGCTGTACTGATACTGATATTTACACCCTTAATCTCTTGTATAACCCAGTAAGAATCTCTTCTATAAAAGTGTTACTGCTTTTATTACTGAAACCAGTAGTTCTTGTTTTTGTGTCTTGCAACAATGTAGAATATTGTTCATTGGACCAAATCTTCAGGAAGCCTGGGGCTGGAGCATGATGTTCATGAGGAAGTGGGTTGGTCCAACCCACTGAGTCACCAACTCCAGTCTGAGCTTGTGTAGTGGAAAGCAGGAGCAATCTGCTGGAGGAGCCAGGGCACAAGTGTAGGCAGGCTTGGGCTTTCGTTTCTCCATTTCCATGTTCTGCCCCCTTGTCCTAATCTCCTCTGCACATGAGGGCACATATGTATGTCAGTATGTAGTCCTCGTCCTGTGGGTCCTGTGGGTCTCCAACTGCCTCTGGGCACAGGTCACAGCCTCCCTCCATGTTCTGGGTTCTCCTCATTGCCTCAGTTCTCCAGCATCTGCTCACAGGTTCGGGCCACATCACCGAGCTTGAGGCGGGCATAATCTACACGTTTTAGAGCCATTTGACAGTCCTTCCTGGAAGAGTAACTGGAGCCTTCATGGGGTTGTCCCGTAGCCACCTAGAGGACAGTTAAATATATTAATGGAGGATTGTCTACCTTACCTACCCTTAACTAGACTTTTGTGTGTGTGTATGCGTGTGTGTGTGCGCGCGTGCACGTGTGCCAGTACTGGGGCTTGAACTCAGGGCCTCAAGCTCTTGCTTGGGTGGTGTTCTACCACTTGAGCCACAGCTCTACTTCTGGCTTTTCCTGGTTAACTGAAGATAAGGGTCTAATGGACTTGCTTGCCGGGGCTGGCTTATAACTGTGATCCTCAGATTTCAGCCTCTTCAGTAGTGAAGATTACAGGTGTGAACTACCAGCACTCAGCTCTTGTCTTTCTGTTCTGAGTTTTATTTATTATTCTGGTACCTTGGCAATCTAAGCAAACCACTTAATGTCTGTTAAACTCTTCTGTTAAATGAGGTGCCAGTAACTCCTTCCTAGAGTTGTAGGATAAAATAATGCAGAGTGCTTGGAATACTATTAATCTTAGTCAATTACAATAACAGTCATAAGGACTTTCTTTACTCCTTCTTCTTTTTGCCAGTCATGGGACCTGAACTCTGGGTCTGGGTGCTATCCCTCAGCTCTTCAACTCAAGGCTAGTGCTCTACCACTTCAGCCACAGCGCCACTGCTGGCTTTTTCTGCTTATGTGGTGCTGAGGAATCGAACCTAGGATCTCATGCATGCAAGGCAAGCACTCTACCCCTGAGCCACCTTCCCAATCCCTTTTTTTTTTTTTAGTAATGGAGTTTGAACTCAACACCTCCTGCTTGCTCTACCACTTAATACAGGCCACCAGCCCTTTTTCCTTATTTTCTAAACTGGGTCTAGCTTTTTGTCAAGAAGGCCTGAACCACAAAACACCTAATGTAGCTGGGGTGACAGGCTGACATACTGGCACCCAGCTATTTTATTGGTGGAGATGTGGTCTGGTCTGGAACCTAGCCCAGTCTCACCCTGCTAAGTAGCTAGGATTCCAGCCCAGATGTAATCATCTGGAGTCTCATGCCCTGGAGTCAAGAGAAGTTTCTAGAAACAAAGTTCTGAGTCTTTGGTAATATTTACAACCCATCTCCCACACTTCTCTATCCAGAAGCACAGGGGCCCTCTTTCTTTTCTTTCTTGTCAGGGGTGGAGTGTGAACTCTTGGTCTGGGCGCAATCCCCGAGCTCTTCAGCTCTAGGCTAGCGCTCAACCTTGATCCACAGCGCCACCTTCTGTTTCCTGGTGGTTAACTGGAGATAAGAGTCTCGGGGACTTTCCTGCTAGAGCTGGCTTTGAACCGCAATCCTCAGATCTCAGCCTTCTGAGTAGCTAGGATTACAGGCGTGAGTCCCGGCGCCCGGCTCGTTATTTTCTTTTAGAGGAATAAACCCGCCATGGAAGGAGGGGGTCCTCCCGGCCGGGGTGGTGCAAGCTTCACAGGATCGATCCTGCCCGGCTGGGGCTCGGGGGCCCGGGTTCCACGCGGCGCCTCGGACGACACCCACCTGGGTGAGGTAGCGGATCTGAGCCGACAGCTCGGCCTCCACGTGCTGCACCGAGGCGGTGAAGGCTGCCGCCTGCCGGTCGAGAAGTCGCTCGTTGGTTTTCTCCTTCGACAGCTCTAGGATCACGGTCCCTGACGGCAGAGAGGGAGGGGCTAGCCGGAGAAGGGCAAGGAAGCTCCAAACTAAGACAGCGGCTCCCCACCTTCCGCGCACGCGCCTACGACCTCCTCCCCCGCCCCCCCCCCCCCCCCCCCCCCCCCGCCTCCACAGCCCTGCGGACCCTCTGCGGTCAGCGCATGTGCGACGGCCACAGGCTCTGGCTTTCGCGCCCTGCCGTCCACGAGTCGCCTCCCGAACCTGCATTTTGGAGGATGGCGCCGATTTCCCGTTCTATGTCCTCCAGGGCGCGTAGTCGCTCGTTCGCCAGGCTGTAGGTAGCCATTGCTCTTCGGGAAAACCACGAGGTTTTGTCCTTTTGAGAAATGCGATGCTGGCGCCCGGAAATGGATATCGGTCCGCGCCTGCGTAGAAAGCACTCTAGAAAAACACTACAACTCCCAAGATACACGGTGCGGCCACGCCCTTTTCAAAAGCTACCCAGTGAACTACAACTCCCAGAGCATCCTGCGCCCGGCAGGTCCACACCTCCACCAACAGTCCTTTTGTGGTCTAATGGCTTCTGGCTTGAGGCTATCAAACCTGTCCACTTTCGCTGACAGTGTCTTATTCTGCAAGAATTTCTAAGTGATGGTGATGGCATATGGGTGAAGGGTATTCCTCCGGACCAGTCTTGACCATGGGAAGCTTGACTTGGTGAGTGTTATGTTTTCCAGAAGGCTTCTGGGACCAGGAGACCAGCTGAAACAGGAGAATATCCGTATGTTCTTGGATGCTGGATCCTTGCAGCCTTTCCCCCTTTTCTTTTCTGGTTACCTAGTGGCTTGGGGGATAAAGATGAATGACATGAAGCCAGGTGCTAGTGGCTCACTCCTGTAATCCTAGCTACTCAGGAGGCTGAGATCTGAGGATCATAGCTTGAAGCCAACCCTGGGCAGTCTGTGAGACTCCTTATCCACAATTAACCACCAAAGAGCCAGAAGTGGAGCTGTGGCTCCAATGGTAGATCCCCAACCTTGAATGAAAAGGCTAAAGGCCAGCACCTAGGCCTGGAGTTCAAGGCCCAGTGTGTACACACACACACACTAGCATCTCACATGTCAGTGGAGTGGATGTCCAGGTGTATGTCAGGGAGCACAGAGAAAGGATTCTCAAAAGCTGCCTCTGTATCCCAAAGGGCTAACTAGACAAGAGCTTGGAGTAGAAAAGGGAACTAGCATTGGCAAATGAGTGGTTTTGCCAAGAGACCTAGCATATTTGGAGTCTAGCAAAGGTTCAGGATTTTTCTTTTTTCTTCTTCTTCTTTTTCTTTTTGCCAGTCCTGGGGATTGTTCTGGGCCTGGGCACTGTCTCTCAGCTTCTTTTGCTCAAAACTAGCACTCCACCACTTGAGCCACAATACCACTTCTGGCTTTTTTCTGTGTATGTGGTACTGAGGACTCGAATCCAGGGCTTCATGCATGTAAGGCAAGCACTCTACCACTAAGCTACATTCCCAGCCCCAAAGGTTCAGTTTAAATGGAGTGTAGTGGTGGTTAGTTGTGACAATAGGAAAAATGGAGTGGGGAGCTGAATCAGGAAAAGGATTACAAGTTGTCATTTGGATTTTCTTTTCTTTTCTTTTTTTTTTTGGGGGGGGGAGTCCGGTCGTGGGCCTGAACTCTGGGCCTGGGCGCTGTCCCTCAGCTCTTCAGCTCAAGGCTAGCGCTCTACCACTTGAGCCACAGTGCCACTTCCAGCTTTTTTCCTTTTTGCTTATGTGGTGCTGAGGACTCAAACTCAGGGCCTCAGGCATGCAAGGCAAGCGCTCTACCACTGAGCCACCTTCCCAGCCCCCTGGATTTTATTTTCAAGGACAAAAATCATTTGAAGTATTTTTTTAGGAATTATATTGTGATCGGATTTACCTTTTAAAAAAGTGTGTGTGTGTGTGTGTACCTTTTAAAAAAGTGTGTGTGTGTGTGTGTGTGTGTGTGTACTGGGGATTGAACTCAGGGCCTAGGTGCTGTCCTTTAGCCTTTTCATTCAAGGCTGGGGCTCTACCACTGGAGCTACAGCTCCACTTTTGGCTGACTATAAATGAAGATCTTTAGACCTCAGCTCCTGAGTAGCTAGGATTACAGGCATGAGCCACCAGCACTTGATAGAAGATACTCTTGAGAACCTAACAGAAAAATGAAACCAGGGTTGGGGTTGTAGCTCAGTGGTGGAGTGCTTGCCTACCAAGCAGGACACTTAGTTGGACACTTGATGGATCTGGCATTGAGCTTCATAGTTCCCCAGATCCTAATGATATATATCTGTGACTTGAATGCAGGGCCTGGGCACTATCCCTGAGCTTTTTTTTTTTTTTTGAAGTAGCTCACAGGAAGGCAATTTATTAACAAAATAATTTGAGGAGTCCAGTTCACCAACGACCACGGTGATATCCCTTCCTGCGGGTGCTGTTGGAGGGGATGGGGGTCACATCCTCAATCCTCCCAATCTTCATACCTGAGTGAGCAAGGGCCCTGAGGGCCGACTGGGCTCCAGGTCCAGGTGTCTTGGTCCTGTTTCCACCTGTGGCCTGAAGTTTGATATGTAGGGCAGTGATTCCCAACTCCTTGCAACTCTGGGCCACATCCTGAGCAGCCGACATGGCAGCATATGGTGAGGACTCGTCCTGATCACCCTTCACCTTCATTCCACCAGTCACCCTGCAGATGGTTTCTTTGCCAGAGAGATCAGTGACATGGACATTGAAGGATGCAAAGATGTGGCAGATACCAAACACATTCTCTCCTTCAGCCACCTGTTCCAAGGCTAATAACCAGTTCTTCCTTCTTTTCCTTCCCCTTATGAGGTGCTATTTCTGCACGCTGTCGCTACCAGATTCTGCCACTAGAAAGAGCTGTCCCTGAGCTTTTGTACTCAAGGCTAGCACTTTACCACTTAAGCCACAGCTCCACTTCTGGCTTTGTTGTTGTTGTTGTTTAGTGGAGATAGGAGTCTTATGGACTTATCTGCCCTGGCTGGCTTTGAACTGCAAATCCTCAGATCTCAGCCTCCTAAGTAGGATTACAGGCTTGAGCCACCAATGCCAGGCAAGTTTTTTTTTTTTTTTTTTGACAGCTATAGGGCTTGAACACAGTTCATGGGGTCTAACCCTGTTCCCTTTTGTTCAAGCCTAGTGCTCTGCCACTTTGAGCCACAGCTCCACTTCTGGTTTTTGAGTGGTTAATTGGAGATAAGAGTTTCATGGGGGCTTTTCGGCCTGGGCTAGCCCTGAACTCAGGAGGCTGAGATCTGAACTGTGATCCTCAGATCTCAGCTTCTTGAGTAGCTAGGATTACAGGTGTGAACTACTGGTACTGGCTATAAGATATTTTTCTTAAAAGTGGTCAAAGAAAGGGACAGAGTTAATAACCAGACTTCAGGAAGAAGCCAGCAAAAAGTGGCTACATGGTAGCTGATTTATCAGTGTAGCTGTAAACTAAGCCAACAGTGAAGAAAGTTTGGGAAGCAAATTGGTTTACCCTTAAGTTAGTGGCCCTGCATACAACTTGGGTGAAGGCGGTATTGAAATTGGGTTATTTGACACTGTCGGACTACCAGATCTCCTGGATCTTATGTATTTTGGTAAGGACTCTCCCTGCAATCCATTAGAATACTGGATATTTTTTTAATGTTGAAGGTGGGAAATAAAAGTATTTTATTTTTAGCTCGGAACGGAACCCAGGTCCCTTTCGATCAGTGAATTAAAAACAGATTAAATGAGAGTTTATCTACCAATGGTTTCTATAACTGACAATGAAAATTATATTTTCCATGTTAGAGACTGGAAGATACTCCTCAGGGGAATTTGATTAGTCAGAGAAAATACCTAATGAACATCGTGTATTCTCCAACAAAGCAGTTAGTTAGATCACACCATGGTGATCGTATCCACAGTGAGTAAGTCCCAGCTGTGTACATGGAATTTCTAGTCAATTTCTTAGCACCTCAGTCTTCCCTAGAGCTTGTGTTTATCCTGCCTCAGCTTTCTGAGAGCTAGGATTCTAGGTGCAAACAGCTCATTCTTAAATATGAGTATACAGAAAAAGGATTTCTAGGGCTAGGAAGGTGGCTCAGTGGTAGAGCGCTTGCCTTGCATGCCTGAGGCCCTGGGTTCGATTCCTCAGCACCACATAAGCAAAAAGAAAAAAGCCGGAAGTGGCACTGTGGCTCAAGTGGTAGAGCACTAGCCTTGAGTTGAAGAGCTGAGGGATAGCACCCAGGCCCAGAGTTCAGGCCCCACAACCGGACCCCAAAAAAAAAAAAAGAAAAAGAAAAAGGATTTCTAGATATTTGAAAAAACTTTCTAACATGGCCTGTTAACAGAGCTCTTAGGGTAGAGATAATAAAAAAAAAAGAAGAAGAAGAAGTTAAATGGCTGGACACTGGTGGCTTTTGCTTTTAATCCTAGCTACTCAGGAGGCTGAGATCTGAGGATTGTGACCCAAGTCAGCCAGGGCAGGGAAGTCTGTGAGACTCTTATGTCCAATTAACCACTAGAAAACTAGAAGTAGAGCTGTGGGTCAAAGTGGTAGAACACTAACCTTGAGCAAAAGAGCTTAGGGACAGTGCCCAGACCCTGAGTTCAAGCCACACCGCCAACCAGAAACAAACAACCAAAAACAGAAGTGGAGCGGTGGCTCAAGTGGTACTAGCTTTGAGAAAATACTCAGGCACAGCAAGGGTCTAGGCCCTGAACTGGTACACATATACACACAGAAGTTAGGGGGTCATGGTGCCTGCCTGTAGTCACAGAGGCTGAAGTGAGAGGGTGACTTAAATCCAGGAGTTTAGCTAGTCTGGACAATATATCAAGTCTCTCTGTCTCACTCCCTCTTTTTGAGACAAGATCTTATAGCGCAAGCTGGCTTTGAACTCACAACCCTCCTGGCCCATCCTCCTGAGTGCTGAGATTATAGGTGTGTTACCATACCGGATCCCTATCTGTATTTTTTAAAGAGTGGGAGATGAGGAGGTGGGACTGAATACCAAAAATCACACTTGAAAAATCAAGCCTGATGAAAGGAATGAAAAGTCCATTATGAGTTGGAAGAGAAATTGAGACACTGTCTCAGCAAATAAAGCAAAATGAAACCAGGCTGTGGTTCAAGTGGTAGAGTGTTAGCCTTGAGTTGAAGAGCTGAGGGACAGTGCCCAGGCCCAGAGTTCCGGCCCCACAACCGACAGAAAGAAAGAAAGAAAGAAAGAAAGCCAGGCGCTGGTGGCTCACGCCTGTAATCCTAGCTACTCAGGAGGCTGAGATCTGAGGATCGCGGTTCAAAGCCAGCCCGGGCAGGAGAGACCGTGAG